TTTATTAATTTCTCTAAGTTTCTTCCTTCCATAAAGTTACAGGTTTTCCTTGTGGCACTGCATCTCAATCGAGGATTTGATTTAAATACATAAGGCCATCTAATTTTTACATTAAAATGTGCACCACAACCAGGTTAATCTGACAGTATCTAAGTCTAGACTGTGTTTTATGTCATTTGCCTGAATTTGCAATTACTTTCCTATATGCAGGACTTCAGAATAGATTAAATACTCCATTAGTCATGTTCTAGTCACAGCACCGCCCTTGATTTGAGCAACTTGAAAATATTCAGTCATTTCACTGTTTAGTATACTTAATTTTATTTCCACCCCAACACTGATTTATCCCTTTTTCATAACCTTATTTTTGTTACTCACTTTCTCGTTCAGTACATTCATACTCAAAGTAAATTTTAACCAAAAAAAATATTTACTTACTTTTTAGGGCCATAACAAACTCAGTTTTAATAATAAAAAATTGTATAGAAAATGGCTATTTTTATTCATCCTTTGTTACATTAAAATAAATACCTTTTTTCCCCCCATAGAATCATTACCTTTAAATACGTCAATTTGTGATCATTTATCTACAAGCCTCCCATTTAGAAAATTGGATTCACATCAAAACCAAATCTGTAAGTGTATCTCTCTCCTGTTGCTCTAGTGATCATATAATGACACCCAAGACAACACAGAAAGGAAATAAAACACATGTTACCAGAACTTAGGCAGACATTTGTAGGTACATCTTTCACCTCAAGTGGGATGCATCCACCTTTGAACTTGAGTTTCATTCTGCCTGAATAGCACATATCCTTCAAAACTTGTGGTGTTCTCATCACCACTATTCCACTAGCTATCTGCCCTGTTCATAAATGCTCTCAGAGCCCACACACACCAGTAGATCAAGTTTCTCTACTTTATAGCCTTATATCCAGCAGTATGGCAAGACTGCTAAGACAAAAAAAGTGTTTTCCTGAGTTGCAAAAAATTCCTCCTCTCATCCCAATTCCATGCTTCGCTCTGCTTCATCACCATCACTCCTAGAACACCAACATACAGGGAATAGGACAGTCAGCTGAAAGGAGCTGTCTTCTGCTAACAAAACTGTTTCAGAGAGACCACATTTCCCAGCCACTTCTAGGTGAAAAATTACGAAAATTATGACTAGAAAATTATGATAGCTAATAGTTGCCCAGTAGGTTGTTCACTACTTTCAACATTTTTTAAATGTGTCAGGTATCCAGCTATATAAATCAGTGCACTTCATAATTCAGTAAAAATTCTATAGCTTTTTCTGTGAAATCATACTCTATATTGAAGTTTCTTCAAATTGACCACAGGTTAAGTAACAAATTAAATATGCAACCTTTGGAGTTTTTACTATGAAAGTCTTTACACTGTTATTATTAGAATAAACTACATTTAAAATAAAACAAATGCCCATAGTTTTCTCTGGTGAATAAAGGGCAGAAATATCTACAGGTAATTATGCCAGTCACATTACTTAATAAGCTTGTGCAAGTCATTTGGATACTGTGGAGATGGAGACTGTAAAAGAACCTGATTGGAATAAAATACTATTAATTAAACCTCATAATATCCTGAAAGATAGGCAAGTGGTATGACTTTAGAGAGACAACACAAATTGTTCAATGTCATGTTGCCTCAGGGGCATGATAATTTCCTGTGAACTAACCTACAGCTTTCAGGTGCTCTTCATCTGGGGGAAACACAAAAGTTCCATCTTCTCCTGAAGAAGAGGGAAAAATATCTTTTGTCTTTTATTAGTCAAAGTGCTCAAATATCTTTAGTGCCCTCTGGTGTGCATTTCAGTGATCAATATATGTATAAAAGGAAAGATAATTGGCATTGATCTGAATAAAACCTTCAGTTCATCTTTCTGACTACTTCTAAACAAGCTTTCAACTTCCTAGGACAATCAGGAGATACAGTTAACATCTCCATGGCATTTATTGACCGAAAGCATCAGTTGAAAAGGTTGGTTTCAGTACTATCCTAAATATAAACATTAATAGAAAATATAGAATTTTGCTCTCTTTTAATTCAATTGACACCATGAATTCAGTTCTCCTCACCTCTTGCAGTCTCTCATTTGACTCCAATAACACTACCAGAGCCTATCCTCCTTGACTTCAATAATACCATTGTATTTTTATCTAAAAAGAAACCCAAGCAAAGAAACCCTCTGTAAACCATTTTCACTTTTTTCCACTTTCCCATCCTTCTCATCTCTTCCTCCTTTAACACACGGATTTTACAGGAAGAATCTGTATGACCAGTGTAAACATCACTGTTTCTCCCACTGTTGACTACTTAAATAATCCCTTCTTTGCACCAGAAATCCTAGCATACAGTCTCATGTTAGCCCGTATTTGACAAAACTCCAAATCCCACATGCTGGATCTAGCAAGTCTGTGGCCTTAGGGAAATCAGAAGAGCCACCTGAAACAGAAGAAAGCTGTTCATTTTCATTTTTGGATGATGCTTATGCAGTCCCAGTGACTGTCACAGCTGGCAACTGCTTGATTGTGAGATCTTATGCAAAGGAGATGGCATGAAGGATACCTCAGGGAGAAGTTTGTCGGCAGCACAACATGACACTGAATGAGCTATAACAGCAACTGATCAAACCAGAAGCCCAATTTTGGGCTCCCCAGCACAAGACAGACATTGATACAGCAGAGTGATTCCAGCAGAGAGCTCTCCAGATGATCCACAGGACAGAGCACGTGATGCGCTGGCAGAGGCTGAGAGAACTGGGTTTAGGTTTTTTCACCCTTCAGAAAGCTTTGGCAGTGTCATGCTGCTGTCTAAAGCCACATAACAGGAAAGTGTAGGTAAGAGAGACAAACCCTGTCAAATGGTCTGCAGAGGTTGTAAAATCTGTATATTTGAATGTATTCAAAACTCAGCTGTGCCACAATCCTGAGCAATATGCTCATTGAAGCTGCTTTGAGCAGGGGGCTTGACTTGGTGTTTTCCAGATGTCCCTTCTAACATCCCTTAGTCTGTATTTATTAAGTACAGCAAATCTTTCCAAATATTCCTACCAAAATGATTCCTACGGAATTTTTTCTTTTGAAAAGATTACAAGAATTTGAATATCAAACCATAAAGTGCTTCAATTTGTACTTTTTTAAAGTAAGAACAAAACCTTACTCAGGGAAAAAAATTCCATCTTCATCCCTCACAGGAAGTGACTGAAGTAACAGCTTTGTGCTGCCCTTGCTCAGCTGAGACATTTCAAATAGCACATGCTCATCCACAAACCACTGCCTTTCAGAGCTGATGAAAACCATCTTGCCTCCTGGAGCTATCAGGACTGCTGGATCTGCCCCTCACTGAATTCTGAACAAAGCATAGCGTGGACAAACCCATCCATTCAGGCAGAGACTGCCAGCTACCACTGGCCAGATGTAAAAGACTGTGGTTCCCGAAATAACAGGATCAGCTGGAGAGGCCCAGAGAATGGCAGAGAGCTGACAGAACTCCAAAGCACAATATTGGCCCTGCACACAGCATGTTGTCTCTCAGCAAGGAGCCTCACAGCTCAGAGAGAAGCAGGCCACATATCCACACATGCCACTCACAAGAAGCCAAATCTCAGCTAACTGAGATGCAGCAAGGATTGTGAGCCAAGAACAACTAAACTGAGTACTACAGGACCCAATTCAGAAATCACATTTCCCTGGTGCCCTACTCATGTATAACAGTAATTTAGCTGAAAATAGAACAAAAATAGCCTTTACCAGCAACAATGAGAAGGATAAATAAGGTAGCCTTTAATATTCATTTAGGCATAGGTAAAAAAGTAACACTCTGGAAAGACTTTCTGGAGTGTAAGGTTCATTTTTCAAATTCACTTGCAACAGTAACTCTGCGTGCTTTAATCCTTCTCTGTTTCACAGGCTGTTCAGTGGGTAATTCTTACAAAAGCACAAACCTTCTTCTGACAGAAGCAAAGCTGCAAGTCAGATTCCTATTTAAACTGAGATCTGACTGACATTTTGGGAAGTTTGCAAGGGGCTTCAGTGTATAAATTATCTTTCTTGATATCAGTACAGGTAACATCTGAACTTGAAACTAGACCTAACTGTGACATTTAAAGCCATGTTACCTAACCCTATCCAAAACTACCTCAAGTGAAGAAAACCAACATACTGTGAAACAAGGGAGAAATCAACACACTATAAAACACAAAGAAATTTGATTGGGAGCTAAGGAACGGTAAACACAGTGGTATTTACACCAAGAACTGGCTTCTGGCTCACATTGTGCTCATCACATGGCTAAAGCAGCAATTACCACTCCAACCTCCAATCCACTTTGTCCATGACAAAAAAAGTACTGTGAGTAATACATGCCTACAGTTTCTGCAACATGACGCAAGGAATGCTGAAAATCTTCAACAGCTTACTTCCAGAGGTCAGACTGAAAACTTTGGAAGTTGTTTCACCAGCCATTCAGACAATGAGGACTGAAGTGTGTCAAGAACAGCAAACAGGTCGGTGCAAGTGTAACCACTACAGCCTTTCTTAATTCAAATATTAATTCCGGACACCTTCAGCTGTCCAGTTACAACTCCTGGGAGTTCTGTTCTCCTGGCTGCGTGACAAGCAAGGGCCCAAACTTCATTCCCACCCTGGCAGCATTCACTCCGCAGGGCCTGCGCTGACCTGCCTGGCAGAGGCCATTCCTTCGCTTAAGTCACGAGTCAGAGACACCGTGAAAACATGAACTTTAAAACCTTCTTTTTCTCACTTCTTGGGGTGTTTTGAATGCGTGACCAAAAAGAACCAGATCCCAACACACGAAAAGAAAGGTAAGGCGTAGTTTTTGACAAGCCGCAACCCAGCCGAGGCAGCAGCTCAAAGCAAGGCCGAGCCAGCGCGCCGTGGGGGCGGGACATTCCCCCCGCACTGAACGGCGGCCGCAGCCCCGGGACCTGCGGCGGCGGCGGGGGGGACGCTACTTACAGCCCTGGTCTCGTACAGCACCAGCTTCTGCACGGAGCTGATCAGGGGGGCGGCGGCCACCACCGGCATGGCAGCCCCGAGGCGCGGCAGGGCCTGCTCGGGAACAGCCCGGGAACAGCCGGAGC